CGCCTTGGGGGAATGGGCAGGGACACCCCTATTTTTAGCTGCCTCTGCATCCCCACCCCCTTCCTTCCGTGGGCCAAAAATACATGGTCTGGATGGACAGGCAAAATCATTACGATAAAAAGAGTTGTCCAGGCCTTGTGTCCAACCACTCCCCTGGCTTTCACATCTTCCTTTTGACCAGGACAGGTTCCTCACGAATGGTCTCCCTCTCCCCCCATGGGTGACTTATGTTTTCATCCCCATCCCTCATTCCCTATATCCCCACATCCTCTCTCCACACATCACACCCTTCCTCATCCCCGCTCCCCATCTGCTCCATGGATGCATCCCCCATCCCTTGATGGTCCCCTCTCCCATGCCACGCCAACCCTGGGGACCTACTCCCTTCTCTTGAGAACCCCCAGCTCCTCCTTTCCCCAAAGCACCTTCCCCCACTTCCTCACACAATTCAACTCCAAAAGGCTTTCCCGCCAGAGCTCCCCAGTTTCCTGCTCCTTGCCCCCATCCCCTGTGCACCCTCCCTCCCTGCTGCATCCCTCCTACCCTCCCTATCTCCACACCCCAGCAACCTCCATCCCAGCTCCCTGCAGCCTGCACAGGCTTTAAACTCCAGCAGATGTGCTCCCCCTCCTTATCCTGCTGAGGGAATGTATTTGGGGGAGGGCAAACAGACCCACAGATGCCCCCGCACACAGAAAGCTGCTTCTCCAAGCAACAGATTGATATCTGAGCCCCCCCAGCCCCGGTCCCTCCTGCACCTCCTTAAATGAAAAGGAACCGGAGAATCAAGTGGTGTTTGGGGGTGTTTTTCAGGGGAGACTTAATGTACATACATACATATATACATTTACATCTCCTTTCCCAGTGCCTGGAATCTCAGAGGTGTTTCCAGGCCACAGGCAGCTGTTCCTGGATTGCTTCTGGTTTATGCAACATCCTCTCTCCCCTCCCAGCCATGTCCCAAACCACCCCTTCCCTCTTTTCTGTGCCAAGCGGAAAGTCGGGAGAGCATGGACCAGGGTCTGTCCTTCCATCCTCCTTCCCACAACAGCCCCCCAAAACCCCTACAGCACCCCACTTCCCCGGCCCACAAACAGGACTAGAATATGAGGAGGAAGCCGGGGAGGGTGGGAGGAGGAAGAAGGATGAAAACATTTGGGATAGGAGGAGATGGGCAGAGGGAGGGAGTCAGCCTGCCAGCAAGCCTGGGAACTCATCCCTACCTCCTCCTGGGCTTTGGCAAACCCTGAGGCTTTGAGTTCCCGGCCCAGCTCCCCGGGGGAAAAGTATCCCCCACCCCCCCCTTTGCAAACCCCACAAGCGGGAGGTGGTCAATCCCATTCCTTCAGCTTCCTGCTGCTCCAGGGAGGGGAGCTGGAGGAATCAGTGGGGAAAATTAGAAATGGGCTTTTACAGAGGTTGACCCACCCTCTTCTAGTATGAGTGGGTCTGACCTGATGCTGCTGCCTGCCCGGTGGTGCTCACTGCAACCCGCCTGCTTTCCTTCCCCGGTGCAGCACAAGGATGCCGGGAACTGCACCGGTCTCATCCCTCTCCCCAGTTATCACAAAGGCTACAGGCACAGAGCAGGGGACCCGCAGCACAGCCCCAAAAATGGGCTGAGCCTGGCCCAGTACATCCCTGGAGGTGCTGCCGGTGGAGAAATCATCCTGGTGAAGAAACTACGGGGCATGAGGGATCTGGTGCGCACAAAGCCAGCGTTGGCATCAGACCAGGGAAGCGCTGGGCAGACGCTGGGTGCCTCGCACCTACCCCTCACCCCAGGGTATCACCTCCTGCCACCACCCCAGCTCGCTCATCCTAAAACCGGCTCTGCCTCCAGCTCAGCCCCAGGGCAGCAAGACGCAGGCTGGAGGCAGCACCGAGGGCCACGGGCTGGGAGCCGGGAGAAGGGACCTGACAGCACCAGGATGAGGGGGAGCTGGATGAGGCCATGCTGGGATGCGTGGTGGGGCAAGGGGCCCTATG